GAGTAATTTGCAAGTTTCTGACCACTTATAAAATGTGTTCAATGTGCTGCCCATTGTGTTGGATTGTCAATGCAACCCATAGATAATTGCCATCGGATGACCCAAAGATAAAAGTCTAAGAAGGTCAGATTGGGAGACCTTGGGGGCCAATCAACTGGCCAATGGCGACCAATCCACTTTTCAGGAAACTGTTCATCTAGGAATGCTCGGACCTGACACCCATAATGTGGTGGTGCACCATCTTGCTGGAAGAAAACTCGGGTAACGTGCCCGCTTCAGTGCATAAAGAGAGAACACATCATCATGTAGCGATTTCAAATATCCAGTGGCCTTGAGGTTTCCATTGATGAAGAATGGCCCCAGTATCTTTGTTGTCTATGGAGTGAAGATACAAGATGTGCAGCACCTAAAACTACGGATACTGGAAGCCTGTGCTGGCATTTCTCCTGCGTTGCTATCAGTGTGTGAAGAGTGGGAGAAGAGGGTTGCATTGACAATCCAACATAATGGGCAGCTCATTGAACACATTTTATAAGTGGTCAGAAACTTGTAAATAACTCATGACAGAATAAAGTTGCGTTAAAACCAAGCACACCATTGCTTTTCTTGTGAAATTCCAAATGAGTTTGATGTGTCACATGACCCTCTTCCTATTGAAAAAAAACAAAAGTTGGATCCAAGATGGCCGACTTCAAAATGGCCACCATGGCCACCACCCATCTTAAAAAGAGTACCCCCTCACATATACTAATGCGCCACAAACAGGACGTTAATATCACCAACCAATCCCATTTTATTAAGGTGTATCCATATAAATGGCCCAACCCTGTAGAGAGGGCTGTTTTATGATGGATGGATGGATTCACTCCCTACCTGCATATTTAAAAACCTGACATTATGTCTGGTTTAGCACTAGAAAGGATCTATTAAATATTCCTGCTAGATTCTCAACTAAACGTCAATCCTACTGTATACACCGTTATTATTGCGACATCACGCTGTATATTAAGCCAACCCCGGTTGTATGTTGGACATGACTCTGGATGTTGAACATACACAAGCAGATACAAACCTCTTTGCACTCACGTACAATGGGCTGCGTCACCGCCACCTCCTGCTGGCTGCCCAACATTGCGCTGCTCGTGCTCTTGTTGCGGACGTGGCCCTTCTTAAAGGGCGCTTTGGGCCCGGGGGGCATTTCCTTACAAGGGGATGTGGGAGAAGTTGACAGGACCAAAGTCTTCAAAGCAGCCACCTCGGCCTGAAGAACATCGATCTACATGGAGGGGGGAAAAAAAGAGAGAAGGACTGGTGAGATTTCAGACTTTACATAAAAACAAATCCAAAAAGGTCTCCTTTTACCAGAATGGACCTAAAAATGACTATATTCCGAATACACTGTTGTTGTGAAAAATAATGTTGCATGTTTCTCACTTAAACTTTCATTTTAGTTTGGTTTAGTTTGACGTTTCTGGTTAGTAGATCTTTGTCCTTCTTTTGGCTCCCCTTGTTATGCCCTTTACTTACTTATTTTATTTGTGCACAGACGATTGCCAAAATGATACTACACAAACCCTAGATGTGGTTTGGTAGTTCTGATAGCCAAGTATTCTCACACCTATCCACCTTTTTCAGATTGTGTCTACTGCATTCTCAGTTATCGGTTACATTTCCTGCTTGGGAAACTTCCGTTCATAATATGGCTGTGCTATAAATAATCCATATCCATAGTGAAAAGTCAATAAGACGCAGGTTTTCCTTTGTCATTTATTTTTATCTATAATGTGACGAATGCTTTACTTGGTATTTGTAATGTGACATTAATAGCACAATCCTGTGGCAAAAAATACATATATTTGATCTCTCGTTTTAGTAAATCATGGCCATTATTTACAAATTTGTTAATTGGTTTTTGTAAATTGTGGTTACTGTAAACGATTATACTCCCTTCACTCAGAAAAGTTGACATCCAGTGTTCTCCTGCCTCCGGCACCTAGAATGCAGCTCCGCACATTGAGTTAGACAAGAGGAGACAAGTGAGCCTGGTTTCTCTCAAGGTTTTTCCTTCACTTTGGTCAATTGGTGAAGTTTGTTCCTCCACCGTCGCCACTGGCTTGTTTGTTTTGGGACTTGTAGAGTTCCGCATCGATGGATTTGCTCTTCAGTGTTTGAACTCTCAGCAGTGAATATTAAAGGGCCATGAAACCCCCTCGTTTCAGCAGGGTGTTTTCACACCTCTACTTTGGAAAAAGTCAGAAAAGTGGGCGTGTCCAGCTCTGTTTAGGGGGGAGTGTCGGAGGTAGAAAAGTGGGAGGGTGTGGGAGTGTCTATTTGGGCACGCGCGTGTTTCAGAATCAAAATACACATACATACACACAGGAGAAAGTGATGGTGTTTAACCTTCATGGACATCTGTAGTCGAATTATTTGCCAAATTATTAAATGGTGGACTTTAACTGCAGTTTGGCTCTTTCGTTCAGGGAATTTATTCATGCCCCTCGCGACAAACGAGATATTTGATTCGAGGAACTGCTCTAAGTGTGTATTTTCATGCAATGTTTGATACCGCACGGCGAATGAGAGAAAAAAAAACTCAGCATTTCCCGGAAACTTAGATGCACACAGCAGGTAGCGTCAGAAAGCCGCGTGTGTTATTTCGGTCACTAAATGCGGTGAAAACCCTAACGTAACACGAGGTTAAAGTTTGGTTGTGGTGCTAACATGTTTACACTCGGTGCAATAGTTAGTTCGATACGAACAAACCGAATAAACAAAGAGCGCTGCTCACTCACTTACCAAATCTGTAGAGACAGGACAATCACCAGCAACTAGAGCCGCGTCTTTATTAAGAGGAGACTACAAGCGAATCCGGAACTCAGCGTGCAGATAAGAACAGCTCTCAGGTAAACAATAATCCTCCTTAGACACGTAAGTTATTGTTGTCGAGCGTCGCGTACACTGTTAATCCATTGCGTGAGTCTGAGCTCTCACAGAGAGAAAATGAAAACGAAACTTAACGGCAGCAAACTATAAAAGCAACACTTCACGCTTGTTTTGCCAACACAACGTGGCGTCTCTGTCGTCTAAACACTGTGACAGTAATGAATATTAATGAAGTTGCACAATAGAGCGCGCTGATTGGTTTGAACCAAGCTTTACTCATGCATTAATGCATCACACTGTAAGATGTAATAAGACTCACTCTGGCACAGACGTCCAGTCTGCACGCTGGAATACACGCTATTATGTCATGACCGTGACGCAGCTTCAAAAATTCGGAAGTACGAATTTGCTTGAAATAACGCAAAAACAACCAATTTACACTTTTTAGTGAAATATAGGTGTCCTAATAGTGTTTTTAGCAGTGTGGGACACATATACCACTGTCAACAGCTCAAACAATGTGTTTTGGTGTTTCGTGACCCTTTAAACCACACTGAACTGAGCTAAACTGAACCTAAAGGGCACCTATGGTAAAAAATCTACATTTCCAGCTGTTTGGACAGACATGCGTGTAGGTATAGTGTATAGATCGTCATATTGGGGTGATATAAACACACACAGTCCTTTTTTTTCCAATTTAACAACATAAAAACGGTGGACCAATTGGAGCGGTTTTTAGATCGACCGCAACTTGATGTAGGAGTGCGGTCCCCCCGCCCACCAATATTGATTGACAGGCGCACATCACCATATCCTAAGTTTGTGGTTTTACGCCCGCCATTTTCAGTGTGAGTCAAAGCGATGTCACTAAAAGGAACACCCGTGCTCTATTTTTAGATGTAAGGCTCATTGGGCTCAACACAAGATCAACATTCACCACATGATCGCTGTAATCGGAATAATTGTTTGTAACTTTAGGTAGGTTTGCAAACGTGTGCTTTTCATTGCGTCTGCCTTAAACTTCAGCCGTTTGCATTTCTCACGCTCACAGAAGCTCCCTGTGATCTAAACAAGGTGCAGCTGGAAAGTGCGAGCGCGTTGCCTCACGTGCGTGTCGCTCGATTGGAATTAAAATAACGAACTTGCCTGCAGGTCGCACACCAGAAGCGCCACTCGGCGACGCTCAGTGTCGGGCCACACAGCGACATGCATTTTAGAATTCAAAACATAGTCGGCACAATAGCCTAGTGGTTAGCGCGTCGATATATGGTGCTTTAGTACTTCAGGGCGTCCCGAGTTCAAATCAAGGCTCGAGGACATTTCCCGTCCCTAACCCCACTCTCTCTCCCACTTCGCTTCCTGTCTGAAATACTACCCTATCCACTTATTAAAGGCACTTAATAGGCTAAAAATAAATCTTAAATAAAAAATAATAATAATTCTAAACATAGGTTTCTATCAGGGTACACACAACGGTGCTTCAAGTCCGCGGCGCCCAGCCACGATTTGGGACACTTCATATTTCCGCCATGCCACAGAGCACCATCTAAATAGTTTCATTTCAAATACCATCTGAATGTGTGTGTCTGGTGTGCCGTGTCGCGCCGTATCCGGTGCCTCAAAGTTAATTCAGTGTTCGTGGTTGTTAGTCTCGGTGTACAAGCTCTGAACTTTAAACTAGTACACAGTTGGCTGTAAAACTATACAAAGACACAAATGATTGTGTATTCTCTCTGCATGGTCTGTTTCCGACTTGTACATGTACAGCTGAATGCTGGTCCTCTCACTCATGTAGCTTCTCTCTGTCTGCCTGTCTGCTGCCAAACACAGAGTGGGGGGAGCTCTTGGCTCCGCCCCCTTGTTACGTTGGGTGGGAAGTCGAAACTGATTTTCATGTGAAGCAACACGCCCCTAAAACAACGAGCTGTGTACACGCCCACAACATCACACTTATTATAATAAAAACATCTGATCTGTGTGTTGAACTGAACCTAAACTGGCGCACTTAGAACAACCATAATGTTAACATTAAATCTTAGAAAGGGGTAAACTATGTGCCCTTTAAACTCTGAAAAATGAACTACACTGTTTCAATTTAGTTGAACTTTTACGTTAAGCTGCTTTGACACAATCTACACTGTAAAAGCGCTATACAATTTCATTATTACAGTGATTGTGTGAAACAGGAAACAAGTTATGTGTCAAGCAATTTACTTAAAATGAAGGAACAAATTAATACAACATATTATCAATTCAGGGGAACGTATTTTCTTTTCTTTTATAGCCATGTTATCTTTGGACTTCCTTAGTGAATTAATTATGATGGAAACCCATTTATTCAATAAATCACTTGATGCGATTTAATAATTTAACTAACTTGCTGACCAACCTCAATGCACAGTGTTTCCAAACATCCAACCCAAGCTCATTCTGAAAACGTAGTCCCGTGGACGTTTCTGGAGACCGCGATTTGCGTGGCCGGAGGTACGCATGGCTGCATTAAACTTTAAGCGAACACTACGGGGCGGTGTGACGCCGCTCTTCTTCGCACTTGCCAGCTGACAGCTCAGCTTCGTGTCGAGGGCTGTCCCACCGCAACCAGTTTGTCCGGTTAGCTCGTCGTGTATGTCGGCGGAGTGGAGACCCAGAGGAGAGCCGACGGACTCGACCGGGTTCGAGTCTGGGGAAGAGCGGTTCCAGAAATCAGGTAAGACAAAAACAGAATCCAAAAAATGAAGTGAACGAGTTCATAATGGGAGAATGCAGTGAAATCCGAAAATGCGGTCAAAATAAGAAGAGGGCTTTTCTTTTTCTGGATGGCGTTTGTAAATTGTTGCTTGGGTTCAGGGAAGCGAGCGGGCGAGCGTTTTAATCGGTAAAAACGGTTGGGTTTAGAGGAGGAGGAGAGTGGGTCAGCCAGATTGGCCGGTCGCCCACTCAATCAATCAGTCAGTCGGACAGATGGTCACTCCACAGCGGCCTCCGGCGGCTTTATGCGAGAACAGCGCGGGTGCGAACGGCGCTCACAAGAGGTGTTCGAGATGCGAAAAAGCGCACACAGCGGCCTCTTGTGGAATATGTACCTCCCGGGACGTATTTCGCGGTCTACAGGACTACGTTTCCAGAGTGAGCCTGGGATGCAAACATCAGGCATTGGAATGCAAGGTAATATGGCTGTATTTGTAAAAGACGTCAATTATTTTGAAAAAAAAAAAAGCTCAAGTTAATGTTATTACTGATCACTTTGAAAAGTTTCCCAGAATGCGAAGCCTTTGACTGAAAGTTAGTTGTTTGGATGTTGCGTTAATTGCATATTTCCATCAAATGCGCCACTTTCAATGGAACCAGAGCTAATAACAAATGCTAATAGTTTAGAGCAGTGTTTCTCAACCCCGTTCCTGGAATACCACCAGCACTGCGTGTTTTTGATGTCTCTTTTTTCTGTGTTACGGTCCGTGGGAGTTTGTATTTTTGTGCCTTCTCCCTCTCTGTTTTGCTTGTCTCCCTTCGCATCTCCTTGTCTGTCATTCGCTCTTTGTCTCGCCCTATCACCTTTTGTTCCGTTACTTTTTCTCTACTAGGTACCTGCTGATTGGATCCCGAGCCTGTCACTAGGGCGTTTCATCGTGGACCAATTGGACTTCGTTCCGTGGACTTTAAATTCGACTGGCACGCCTTGTTTTTCAGAGTTCTATGTGTGTGTGTGTTGGTTTGTGTTCGCTCGCTTCTTATCATACAGTATGCTTTGTTCTGTGTTTCTGAATAACTACATCGATGTAAATTAGGTCATGGTTAAAGAGTTTATCATTCCTTTTTGGGGAAAAGGGAATAGTTTACTAAGTCGCGCGACATACATTTTGCCCGTAGGTAACTTCAATGTTCAGAAACACTAGGTAAGTGGGTGAACGCCGCATTTTGTATTTTTGCTTATTATTTCAGGGAGTTTAGGTGTGGCGTCGCAAACGCTGAAGATTTCGGTTTCTTTTTCACAGTTTGATTTTTATTAGTAAGTTTAGAGGAGGATCTTGTGTTCTAGTTTAGGTGGCTTTTGGTTTTGTTTAGTTCTCTAGTTCCTTTTTCCCCTAAAACTTTTGATTGCATTTTCTTTCTTTTTATTATTATTATATATACATTGTACAAAGCGCACACATGTAAGCCTCTAATGTGTTGGCTTCATTTTTCTTCTCCTCGTAAGAGGAATAAACGAATTGAATGTAAAGTTTGTGTCCTGGTGTATTTTCCATCCATCTACTCAGTAATAATTTAATATTCTAAGTGTTACGTTTATTTTCCCTAGACAACTTAATTAAACTGTAACAGTCTGTCACACCCATTACATGTCTTTCTATCTTTGTTAATGAGCTGATTCAGGTGCATTTGGTTAAAAAGATATGGAAAAAGTGCAAAACTGGTGGTCCTCCAGAAACATGGTTGAGAAACTCTGGTTTAGGATGCTCGGGAAAGTTACTACAGTATTTTTAAAATAAATAAATCTTGCGTTGCTTCTGTCAGAAAGTCACTAAACGAGTAACTTTCTTCCTTTTTAGGAATGAAATGTTTTACGTTACTTTGGTATCATCATCAAAACATTTCTTTTTTTGGTATATAAATGTGGTTATTTTGATGAAAGTAACAAAAAGTAATGCAAAAGTGGTGTACCACGAATTTCATTTCAAAGACAGTACAAATGACAGTAACTAGGGAATTGTCCAACTTATGATTCTGATAAGTTACCTTCCCCAGCGCCTCCTTTAGCTGCTTCTCCGCTGTGGCCTGCTTCAAGTTTGCCTCGTGCACCATCTTATGAGCCTCCTGTAGAGAACGCCACAGATTCACATCAAACAACATCCTCTGTGAATAAAAAAAAACCCACACCGACAGAGAGAGCTCCACCACACCAGAGCAGAGAGACCTGAGCGGCAGGACCAGGACACTTCAGGACAAACGAGGACAACACAAAGCATGACATGAGAAACGAAAACGGGAGAAAAGCGAGATGTCTAACTGAAGGAAAGTGAGACTTAAGAGCGGATTCCCTGAACACTCAGCAGATCTGGAGTCATTTATGCATTCATACATTTATTTATGGTAACAGTTGGTAACAGTTGCTATGGTAACAACAACAACAATAGTAACATAAACAATTTAAAAAATACTATTCAACAACTATAGGGTATATTATACAACAGAACACCACAGTTTACTGTAGTAAAACCTAAAGTACACTACAGTATATCAGTTCACTATAGTTAATACTAGAGTATGCTGTAGCATTCATTATCAAAGTGTTGTAAGTACTATAATGTGTATACAGTATGATACACTTTCCTATAGTATGGTTTAAAATAGTATTTACTATAAATTAATACACTGTTTTTTTCATGTGGGAATGCTTAAAATGTTGTTTCGTGACACACTAAAACAAATGAACCTAAAATGAACACAAATCAAATAAATGCTGAAGGAAAAAGTTAGCATTTTAGCACTTCCTGGTCTCCCGTCCTGAAATCAATTGGTATTTCAAACGTATTTTTGGCTAAATTACTGACGTTATGTCATTAACACAAGCCCAATGTAGGTTTATATAAAGATTTAGATACGCTAAATCAGCAGCAGCAGCCACTTTTTAAGCTAGCTGTTTGCTAACATCAGGCTAATTAGCACTACAGAGACTGTTAGCGAAGCAGAGCTGTGCTGCTATTTAAAATGCACTATAAAGAGACCACCTAAAAAGAAAAGTACTTTGTAAGTCTTTTTAAAGACCGTAAGTTCCTCTAATACATGTTTACTCTAACTTTAGACGTCTACTTATTAATAAATATCCAGCTAATCTGAAACATATGCTATTTGTAACTCAACAATTATAACTCAAACAGTTATTAAACACTTCCTAAACAGACTTGAGTGTTTAGTCACTGAATTAAAACCTTGAGTGAAACCTGATTATGATTAATTCTCCAGCTCATAATAACTCTAAATGATGCAAGCTGAACTTTTCCCTGCTGAAAAAACAGCTTAAACCAGCCTAGGCTGTTTGGCTGGTTTTAGCTGGTCGACCAGCCTGTTATTAGAGGGGTTTTGGTCATTTCCAGGCTGGTTTCCAACCATTTCCAGCCTGGTCTTAGCTGGTCACCCTGCTAAAAAAATCCAGCTTAAACCAGCCTAGGCTGGTTGGCTGGTTTTAGCTGGTCGACCAGGCTGGTTTTAGAGGGGTTTTGGCCACTTCCAGGCTGGTTTCCAGCCATTTCCAGCCTGGTCTTAGCTGGTCAGGCTGGGAGATGACCAGCTAAAATCAGCTTGACCAGCCTAGCCAGGCTGAGAGCCCAGCCAAAACCAGCTATGTCCTGCTTAAACCAGGCTGGTCAAGCTGGTTTTAACTGGATTTAGCTGGTCATCTCCCAGCCTAACCAGCTAAGACCAGGCTGGAAATGGGTGAAAACCAGCCTGGAACTGGCCAAAACCCCTCTAAAACCAGCCTGGTTGACCAGCTAAAACCAGCCAACCAGCCTAGGCTGGTTTAAGCTGGATTTTTCAGCAGGGCAGGTAGGAAAGTTGACCAGCTAAAACCAGCTTGACCATCCTGGTTTAAGCTGGACAGAGCTGGTTTTGGGTGAGCTCCCAGCGTGCCTAGGCTGGTCAAGCTGGTTATAACTGGTCATCTCCCAACCTGTCTAGATAAAACCAGGCTGGAAATGGCTGGAAACCAGCCTGGAAGTGGCCAAAACCCCTCTAAAACCAGGCTGGTCGATAAGCTAAAACCAGCCAACCAGCCTAGGCTGGTTTAAGCAGTTTTTTTAGCAGGGTTATTTTCAAAACAACTGAAGCAACATGAAGCGGACTGACAACCGCCGTACTCTAGATTTAATGGTGCCCTAAAAAAGCAAATGACGCCGTAAAACATGACTCAATACTTTCAAAGAGATACCCATCTTAATACCATTTGCTGGAATCATTACGTAAGCTTGTTAAAGGTACAGCTGACCCGAAAATGAAGATTGAGTTTACACACCTTTGCATCGTTTTAAGGTTTGGAACATCGTGAGGGTGAGTGAATGAAGACAGAGTTCAGGCTTTTGGACAAATCACTCTTTTTATAAGCTGAAAAGAGATAGAAAGGTGGGTTTGTTTACAATCCTGATAACATGCGCACGTAACAGGCGGATTCACTGGGTGTTGTTTTATGAACCGTGTCATTTATGAGGCACTCGCTGTACTGGAAAAAGATTCCTGCGGGATGGTAAAACAGTCTGTGATGACTGATATTAGTTTATCATTTGTACACAAATATGACAATTAAAACATTAGAGGTGACATATTAAATAGTTTCATTATTCATATGTATTTTTTATGAAGGTATACACTACTCAACATCGATCTCTAGTTGATCATTTGGAAAAGTGGCAGAATTTTTCTGATGGATCATCTGCATCCCGATCATCACAAATACTGCAGAAGACCTAATGGAACTCGCATGGAGCCAAGATGCTCATAGAAATCAGTCAAGTTTGGTGAAGGAGAAATCATGGTTTGGGGTTACATTCGGCATGGGGGCGTGCGAGAGATCTGCAACATCAACAGCCTGAGGTATCAAGACATTTGTGCTGCGAATTCTCCAGCAGGATAGCGCTCTTCATACTTCAGCCTCCACATCAAAGCTCCAGAAAGCAAAAAAGGCGCTCCAGGATTGGCCAGCCCAGTCACCAGATATAAACATTATTGAGCATTTCTTTCTTTGCCATTCCACATGACTTTATTAATCAGTGATGTGAGGCACTGCAGAGATGTATGGATGCAGTCCTCCAAGCTCATAATGGAGTCGGACACAATATTCATTCTGTTTTCACCGCAGCAGGACTTTATTTTCTATACATGTCCAAGCAAAGTCAGACTTTACTGTCCTAATGAAATCATTCGAAATCAAGGCATGATCATATTTTATTTGGGTCAAATAAGCGTCATCTAGAGGCCTTCGCCTTTCATATAAGCCACTTCTGACACCAAATGATCAACTAGAACTCAAGTTATTATTAGTTGTTCCTTAAACTTGGATAGTCGACAAGACTTTTATCAGGAAAGAATAAGTATGTCATTTTTTCCTGCTAGAGGACGTGTATTTATAACAAACAAATGCGTTTTGGCCATGACTGAGTGTGGAATCATGGGAGTTGTGGTCTTTATTATCCTAAGGCACTCCTGCAGAAATCATGTTGATGAATGAGTAATGCGTTCAACACTAAAGCCTGGTTTATACTTGACGCGTTCGCTAGTTCGCTTGTGTCAGCACCGTGAACGTGACGTCATCGCGGTGTTTGCGGAGGTTCGCTTTGGGTGCGCGCGACATGATCCCGGCTGGTGGAGCGCACACTATTTTTTGAGACTAAGAGATATGAACAAAAGCAAGTAATGCATCAAAGTTTAATTTAAAATAAATCTTGAATGGTTATAAAACTATTTATAATCATTAAAAAAATTGATAAAAAATTATTAGTTTAATATATTGAATGATATTAATGACGTAGTTCCGGAAACTTCTGTTTATTTGTCGGATTTAACTGTGAGTTCCTTTTGACCGCCCCCTGTCGTTTTAGGGTGCTTTCACATCTGTAGTTCGCTTCATTTGGTCCGGACCAAGGGTAATAAATGATACATTGTTGTATCTTCTGCCGTCTTTGGGTCGTTTTCACACCACACCACTGGCTTTGGTCTGAACCAGTTGAAACGAACCAAAATGCAGTCATGTGACAAAATCCACATCTCTCATTGGCCAGATGTTGTTGAACATATTTCCTAAACTGCTTATTGATTGGTCAGAATTCACGTGCGGGAAAATGCCAGTGAACTCCCGCAGGTAAACGAAACCTTTTACTCTGGAGGGACGACTGCGCTGGCTGATTGTGTCCCTGCTTTAGATAAACTATACATCTCGAGAATGAAGCGCGGCCGCGGCTGGAAAACAGAGTTTAATGCATCGCTCGTCACTTCAGGAGGAGGCGTGAATTAATTTAGCTAAACTGCGACATGGTCATCTTGCGTAAATATTACCAACGATCCATCAGGTAATGTTTTCCCTCTCTCTCTCTCTCTCTCTCTCTGTGGGTAAAGCGCTGTCAACAAATATTTTTCCTCCATATCCCATAATGCACAGCGCATCGACCTACGGCAGCTGAATTAGTCCAAAACGCGCAGTACTTTTAGCGGTTGGACCTGTTTTAGTACGGATCATATTCTTACCACAAACGAACCGCTCCAGGGTTCGTTTGAAAGCGTACCGAGACCACCTCTTCAAGCAGGTCTCGGTACAGTTATTTGGTGCGCACTCGATTACGATTGCTGCATTCTCACCTGCCAAAAGGGGAAACGAACTGTAGTGCGATTCAACCGAACTAAATAAGGCAGGTGTGAAAGCACCCTTAGAGACAATGGCGAACGCATCAAGTATAAAAGTCTTGTGCATTTCGTTAGTTGTGCGCGCAGTCAGCGGAGATCCACAACGCGGCACCGGGCGAAAATATAAACCAGCCTTCGTACGGTTCTCTGTAAAGGTTGGTCATTTCATCTCTGAAGCCGTGCCCCTGGTGTGTGGTGTCCCTCAGGGCTCTATTCTTGGTCCTTGGTCGCTTCCTTTGGGCTCGATTTTTAGAAGAACATGGCGTCTGTTTTTATTTTTAAGAAAAGACACGAGTCGGCACAAAAGCAGCAGAGCTTTTATTATGCCCCAATCCACCGCTTCTAGTACTTCCACTAATGATCACGTGGAGTCAAAGCGGCGCTGTTTGATCAGACTAAATACATGTTAGGCTTCAGTTATAATGCTGTACAGTGCAGTCGAATAAAACGCACAACATATTAAAGCCTCGTTTCCTTGCTTTCTAGAAAACCACCCCAGAAATCAAGGGTGCGCGTGAAATCATTAGCTGTAACCGAAGTTCATTTATCATAATTGGCATTTTTAAGAGCAAACAAAGAAACAGAAATGCTAAGGATGTGGACAAAGCCTCAGGCATACAGCAGACGCGCCATCAAGTGCAGTTTAGTTCTGTGCTGAGTGTTCAGAGTGACTCCACATGATCAAGTGCTCACACACACACAAACAAACACACACACACACGCACAGATCGGCTCTGTCATTTGGTTGAAGAAACCAAACAAACCTCAAACAGGCTAGCAGTGAGTTCCTCCAGCTCCTGCCCCAGCTGGTCTCTCACTTTAGAAAGCCTCTCACACTCCTCGTCTTTTAACTTAAGCTCCTTCAGACACATGCAATGACATGAACAGAACACAAAAAAATATGAAAAACAGAAAAAAAACAGGGAATGTATGGCTCAATTTCCACATCACATCGATGAGAAGGGGTGGATGATATAACACAGCTTCTTCTCAAACAAAACAACAACAAAAAACACAGTTGGAGGAGACAGTAAATCTAGATTTCCAGGCAGTTAAATAAGTAGGATGGATTAAACCTGCAGTTTAGAGGCTTACAATGTTTAGGGTTTGTCAGTAAGAGCCAAATAAAGGACACATTTTCATTTACTGTATAATGTTAATGGTTTAAATAAACATTTTGAGAATATCAAATCGTGGAATCAAAAGTCATGACTCGAACCGTGCGTTCGGGGAATCGTTTCATCCCTAATGAAATGAATAAAGATTCAGCTCATTGTTGAAGCACCTAAAACTCCAAGCGATCGCCTAAACACACTGCAAAAAATGCTTTTCTTACTTAGATTTATTCTTGTTTCTAGTCCAAATATCTAAAAGTTCTTAAATCCTGAAGCATTTTCTAGACAAGCAAATCATATTGTCTTGTTTTAAGAAGTAATATGCCAAAATGAAGCGAGTTTTTCCTCAAATCAAGCAAAATAATCTGCCAATGGTGTAAGCAAAGTAATCTTGTTTTTCGATTTGTGATAAGATTATTTTGCTTATCCCATTGGCAGATTATTTAGCTTGATTTAAGAAAAAAACTCGCTTCATTTTGGCATATTATTTCTTAAAACAAGACAACATGTTTTGCTTGTCTAGAAAATGCTTCTTGATTTAAGAACTTTTAGATATTTGGACTAGAAACAAGACAAAAAAACTAAGTAAGAAAAGCATTTTTTGCAGTGCATGAGCTGCAACTGATGCTGTTGTTCGGTTAGATCAGCAAAGACGTCGATAACGGGACGAGGGAGGTCACGTACAGGACGAATACATGGGACAACCTGGCTAACATGAGAGAGTTGACAACCCTCATCGACAACAAGCAGTTTTGGAATCATTGCATATGCTAAAATAGAAACAAAATATTCAAATATAACGAAAATCAAACCGAACTAAAAATAAAATTCAGTGAAAAGTTGTTGTTGTTTTTTTTTTTTTTTTACAGATACACATCAAGAGAAATATGAAGAAAAAAAAGCTGAAAAAACAAATAGCACATGACTATAACAGAACAATATCTAAAGACGTAATATACTCATGAACAGATATAAACAGTGTAAATAAACTGTGCTGAATAAACTGAAGATTTAACTGCTTTCAGGGATTCAGTCTGACTATAAACATGACTACGGAGTCTCACAGAGGGACTTGACGGTAGTTTTGAGGTGAGTTTGGAGTAAAAACATGCCATTGTGCTATATATTCACGTGCAGCTTTTACAACAGCCGTAGCTCATTAGTTCATTCATTATTATCTCCTGGGACCATTGTTTTTGTTTACATCCTTCAAAATGGTCTATATAGACTCACCTGTGACTTAATTAGGTACACTTGTTCAACACCTGTCGTTAACGCAAATTTCTAATCAGCCAATCACATGGCAGCTCAATGCATTTAGGCATGCAGATGATGATTAGGATTGATGGTCAAGACGATCTGCTGCGGTTCAAAGCGAGCATCAGTGACTTTGAACGTGGCATGGTTGTTGGTGCCAATCGGAGTATTTCAGAAACTGCTGATCTGCTGGGGTTTTCACGCACAATCATCTTTAGGGTTTACAGGGAATGGTCCCAAAAATAAAAAATATCTGCAGTTCTCTGGGCGCAAATGCCTTGTTGATGAGGTCAGAGGAGAATGGCCAGACTGGTTCCAGCTGATAAGAGATGGAACAGTAACTCAAATAAGCACTCGTTACAATTGACTGCAGAAGAGCATATCTGAACACACAACACGGCCAACCTTGAGGCAGATGGGCTACAGAAGCAGAAGACCACACCGGGTGCCGCTCCTGCTAAGAACAGGAAGCTGAGGCTACAATTCACACAGGCTCACCAAAACATTCGGATGGTCGGGTCAGAATTTGGCATCAACAACATGAAAGCGTGGATCCATCCTGCCTTGTATCAGCGGTTCAGGCTGGTGGTGGTGGTGATGTAATGGTGTGGGGTTTTTTTCTTGGCACACTTTGGGCTCATTAGTACCGATTGAGCATGGTGTCAACGCCACAGCCTACCTGAGTATTGCTGCTGACCATGTCCATCCCTTTATGACCACATCTTCTGATGGCCACCTCCAGCAGGATAACACATGTCATAAAGCGCCAATCATCTCAGACTGGTTTCTCGAACATGGCAATGAGTTCACTGTACTCAAATGGCCTCCACAATCACCTGATCTCAATCCAATAGAGCACCTTTGGGATGTGGTGGACCGGGAGATTCACATTATGGATGTGCAGCCGACAAATCTGCAGCAACTGCTCGATGCTATCATGTCAACATGGAGCGAAATCTCTAAGGAATATTTCCAGTACCTTGTTGAGGGCGCGAAGGATTACGGCAACTCTGAAGGCGAAAGGGGGCCCAACCAGGCACTAGTAAGGTGTACCTAATAAAGTGGCCGGTGAGTGTTTTATATATGCTGTATGCATTTGTGTATTTATACGTGTATGTTTCCAAACAATACATAAACACCAAACTAGATAGGCTTCATATACTATGCTTTTGAAACTTGATTTCTGCTGTGATTCAACGCGGTTTGTGTTTTTCGACATTCACAAGTGCTTCCGGAGAGCGACGTGTCGTTCGGTGAGCGCTGTTTGTTGAGCATCTCACCCGTTGTGCTTTAGCAAGCTCCTCCTTCAGCTTCTCGTAGCCTTTCTCCCGGACCTCCATGACTGATGGACTTCTGAGGCGGGACAGACCGTCCGTGCTCGGCCCCAAACCATCCTCTCCATCAGCGTCCACCGCATCCACAGCTGCTGGATCGTTTCCACTGCAGAGACAAACAGCACTGTGACTCTCACACTTCCTCTATAATCCAGACTGAAGAAAAGCTGTCGCTTGTTTAAAAAAAAAAAAAAGGCTCCTAGACTTAAATAGATGTCTTGAACCACTTATGAATCCATTTCTTGTTCTGGTGGGGTCGCTTTTAGCTTAGCTTAGCATAATGAACTGAATCGGATTAGACCGTTAGCATTTTGGTTAAAAAAACATTCTAATCATTTAAATTGTGGGCACTTGCGATACGTCCATCTTTCAGTCCTTTAAAACCGTCACGTTTACATCACGTTTAGCAAATCAGTCGCTGGGGATGGCGTTACAGCGCACAAGTGTCTACTCTTATATATTCGGTGTTGGTTTGTTTTGCTTGATCAAACATAATTCGCTGTGTTTGGACCACGTTTGACATGTAAAAGGATTACTTATGCACATCACCTCAAAAACAGAGGAGAATTGCCCTGAAGCGCACAGCATAAGGTAAGAGATGACAGCTGTCTGTGCTATCTGTGGCTGCTTATTGATCATAAATGTATCGTTTTCACTTCTGCGCCATGGAAACACCGCGATTCATTCGGCAGCTGTTTGACATGTGAACATAATTCAGTATAAAGAATGCTAGAACCGTATGAGCACCGGCAAGAGCTTTCATTTGAGCTATAACTTGTCCATGTGTCATATGAACAATATGAAAATGAACTAATGTTCAATACCCAGCTCGAGTATCCAAAATACTGTGTAAATAACTTTTGTACAGTCGAATAAAAGTGATGCATATGTGCATACAATATAGATTCTACACTTTCAAACGACACCACTTACAAGGGTCTGCTGCAATGCTAGACCTTTAAATCTGAAAGCGAAAGTCGATGACGTCACAGACCCGGTTTAACTGGTTAAAGGCCTACAATACAGTTTTTACGATATTTTTAGTAGATATATTATTTAAAAAACTTTGTTTACAGAACAAGTGGATTGAATTGGAATTGCATTGCAAATGTGACACTCTAAATGATTAGTCACATGTATGTATATATATATATATATATTTCAAGAGTTCACACTTAGATATTGCTTGACAACTGTAAGCAGGTTTGGCATGCTGTCCCGGGAGAGAACCCTGAGCTCGGAGATAGTTGAGCCCAGGGCTCCCGCCAGGTCCATAGAGCATGTAAAAGGAGTACGAGATCAGGTGGTTCTCGAGAGCTCCCCTTTTTTAAAAGGAGGAAAGGAGGAGAAAGGGGGTGGATGGGGGGTTTCTTCGAAAAAACGAAGGTAAGGGAGTAATTTCTAGCTAGGCTATTTATAGTAAGTTGGGATAGATCTGATTGGCTAACTAATGAGTGTAGATAGGCGGCCAGCTGCGGTCAATTATATCACGTGCTCCTCTCGAAATTAGTTAAAAAACTTCAC